TCATTATTATAGTTTAAATGTGCTTATGCCTTTTCCTTCTGATTTGTAATCCAGACACCTGCAAAATACTCTAGCTATATCAAAGAGAATAAAATTACCTAACGTTTTATTCAATCAGTGAATGAACAAACCCCTTTGTACCCATTCAAGAGTGTTGATATCATCCCTGTTCCTTTAAACTAAAATTACTTTGGGTAGCAGGAAGGCGATGAAGAAAATCATTTGATCCATTTATGATTCTAGTTTTTTACTCACTAATAATGTTGTGATTAAATTTTAATGTTATAGATCCTTTTGCTTTAAAATTAAGATGGAAAAATCATTTTTAAAGAACACTTAAAATGTACACTTCATCACTCATTTAAAAGGAACATTTTATTTTTTAAAGTGATGAATACATCAAGGGAAGGCTTTTATTTCTCACCTGTCTGTATTTTAATATAATTTGATTATCAAATAAATTGGTATACTTCAAGTTGCATTGATGAATTTGGTGTTCTAACTCTTAAGTCTGAAATATTTCAAGCATTCTTAGATCTGTATAATGGAACCTGGGCTTCTCCTTCCTCTATCTCCTAGGTTGCCAGATCATTATGCAAGTGTGGAATGGAAGCAAAATCACTATGTTCAATCTCTTAAAATGGTGAACTCATTCATATAAGTTGGCAAGTTGAAAGTTGGCAACAAATAGAGCAAAAAAGAAAGTCAAGTTAAAACTTGTAGCAAGTTTGCTACCACTTACCCAACACCAAGGCTTCTCTCACTCTCCTATCTCCTGGTAGATACTTAGACTTAAAACTCCTCACTCAGACTTACTGTTTCAGGCTTTTCAGTGGGTAAAGTCCTAGTTATAACCTAGCACTGGCCCTCCCACTGAATATTTATGATAGAGTAGACAAGGACAAAATAAAAAACGAAAGTTCCTACTAAAACAACACCACTACCACACATGGGTAGCTATGTGAGATCATGGATATATTAATTTGCTTCTGTATAATAATCATTTTACTATCTATCTGTATTTTATAATACCATGTTATATACCATAAATGTGCACAATAAAAATTATTTAAAAACAACAAAGAAAACAAAAACTAAAGAAATCTGACATTTTATACAAGCAGCCTGTTTAAAATCTGTGTCTGATAGTCTGCCAGATAAACCAAGCTTTATTATTCATCCAACATATGATAAATGACCTACCAGGCACTGTTACTTTCTTTTTTGTTTCTAGCACTATCATAAAGGTGAAATAACATATGTCTTTAATAGTACATATTTCTAAAATAGATTTCCATTTAACAATCTTAGTTAAGGCCTAAAAAGGACTTAATCAATAATCATACCTCAATATACAGAAATGTGAACTAGCAAAGCATATGTATAATCCTCATTGAAGAGATAATCAACTAGATGTTTCCCAAGCAAAACACTGTGTGCATTTCTAGAAGTTTGCTGAGATCATGGGGAAAGCTGTGATTTTCCAGTAACATTTGCACTATATGGCACCAAATCTAGCCATAGCAGATTTGTCAGGGTTAATACATGATATGGCTCCAAGTATCACCATTTACTTGTTCAGAGACAAGCTAAAATGTGTTTTTGAACCAGATTTAATTGTAGCAAAGTGTGCATGATTTTGTCTCATAAAGCTAACAAGGATGCTGAGAATGCGGCATGGTCTAATGCTTGAGATGGTCTTTGACTGCTAAGAAAAGAACAGACTCTGAGCAACATCCAGTATCCATGGCAACATGTAGCCTGGCAATTTCTTTTCACAAAGAGGAAATTATTTCCATTTATTTACACTTTCAAGGATTTCATGCATTATAATATCTGCATTGAACTCAAATCTAGCCTTGCCCTATGTTCCAAATCGCATTTTAGCCATTTTGTATTCTGTAGTAAATTAGTTTCCAGATTGGAAAAAACACTCTCAAATCCAAGTAACAATGAATAATAGAAAATAAAATATAATTACTGATATAAATGACATATGACCTTATTTCTTCTTGGATGAAGGCAATATTGAGAGCTAAAAATCATGTTATATTGTTGCATTTTGATCATTACAACATTTTGGTTCACGGAATTTTCAAGTTCATGTCGAATTCATTCATTAAATAGTTTACTCTGTCAGGCAATTTTTTTCCCATTTTTATACAGAGTTTTAAAATATAAATTGAAAAAAATAGGATTCTTCTTTCTCCTTCTCTGCCCCCATCTGTCCTTCCTTGTCCTCCTCTTCCTTGTCATCCCCCTCCTTTCCTCCACCTCCTCCTCCTCCCTCTCCACAGCCAAATGCATAAGTAAATCAGAACTCTTCATCCAGTCGCAGATAAATAGTAAAAGGAGAAAGCCAGAGTGATGATCTAACACTGCTGCTGAAAGAGGCCAGCCCACTGGCCTTTACTTTTCAAAGTCGAAAGGGCAACTGGTATTCACTGATAATAAATCACTTGCTTTCTTCTCAAACCCCTAGAACTGTTTTCCTGTACAAAGCCTAGGTCAGTGATGAGCGATCTTTAATTAAAATCCTCCATGTTGCAGATCCAGTGGATGTAGAGACCCTTTGGTAAGCAAAATGATCTGCATAGTCCTGTTTTCCTTTGACATTAAACACAAATAAAAGCAAAAATCTCCCTATACTCTGCAAATATGGGTAGAAAAATAACATTCCTGCTACATAACCAGACTCTGAAGTTTTCCTTTTCCCTTCAACCTGTGTCAATCTAGGGGACCCTGGGGTTTCCTCCATTCCAGGGACAGACAGAATGCCCTCCCCAACACTTCACTGTTTGAATTGTAACTCTTCCTGTGTCTCCATTAAAGGGTTACATGTGTAAGCCCACCCCATTTCAGGCTTTAACAGGTTAGAATTATCATGTGTCTGTCTCTGGCCAGGGGAGCATGCTTGTATAGGAAACTGGATTGACAGTGAGTGTCCCTCTTCTCACTCCTCAATTCTGCCACTGCCATCACCTGACCAGGTGCATATAGATAGGTCACTTCACCTCTCGAGATCTTCATTTTCTATTTTTAGATGATGGAAATCAGACCAGATGATCTATACTGTGGATCTCACTCATCTTATGGTCCTTTAAGTTCTAAACTGTCTAATATTTTAATAAATTGTTTCTATATTCCCCACATCAAACAATAACTCCCACATCTGGAAAATCAGTTGTTAAAAATATATATATTAAAAAACCAAATGAACTGACCACACAAGAACCTGCACATGTATGCTTATATCAGTATTATTCATAAGTGCCCAAATTTGGAAACAACCAAGATTTGCTTTAATAGGTGAATACATAAACAAAATATGGTATGTCCATGCAATGGAATAGTATTCAGTGATAAGAAATAAGCTGTCAACCATGAAAAGACATGGAGGAACATTAAACACATTCTTCTAAACGAAATAACCCAGTCTGAAAGAACTGTATACTGTATTATTTCAGCTATATGACATTTTGGAAAAGGCAAAACTAAAGAGTCATTAAAGAGACCGGTGGTTGCCAGAGGTAAAGGGGCAGGAAGAGAGAAATGAGAGATGAAGCACAGGAGACTTTCAGGGCAGTGGAACTATTGCCTGTGATACTGCAATGGTAGATACAGGACATTATACATTTGTCAAAACCCATAGAACCCATAATGCAAACAGTGAACCCTCATACAAACAATGGACCTTAGTTAGTAACAAGTTATCGATATCGGTTAATCAATTGTAACAAATATCTCACACCAGTGTAAGATGTTAATAACAAGGAAACTTTAGGGTAGCAGGAGGAAGCATATGGAATTCATAGAACTCTGTACTTCCTGTTCAGTCTTTCTGTGAATCTAAAACTGCTCTAAGAAACAAAGTCTATTAATTAGAAAAAAAATCAGATTTAATCTTTCCTCAACAAGAATGGAGATTTATGCAGTGGTTCAAGAGACACATCAGCTCTTAATATATATCTCCTTATTAAGCATCCTTAAGAAATTTCAGGATCCCACACATATAAAGTAAGCTGGATCCTGATGGGGCCTAGACCAAATCTTGCTTCTCAGATACTGACTTCACTGCCTAACTAAAAAGAGTTTAGGGTGACTCTCTATTATAGACTGAATTGTGTCTGCCCTAAAATTCATATGTTGAAGCCCTAACCCTCAGTGTGTCTGTATTGGAGATAGGGCTATTAAGGGTATAATTAATGTTAATGAAGTAACAAGAGCGAGGCCCAAGTCCAATATGACTGGTGTTCATATAAGAAGAGGAAGAGACACTGGGGTGCATGTGCTCAGAGAAAAGACCATGTGAAAACAGCAGGAGGGGTGTTGTCTGTAAGTCAAGATGAGCAACCTCAGAGGAAACCGAACCAGCTGACACTGTGCTCCTGTACTCCCAGCATCCATAATTGTGAAAAAATAAATTCATGTTGTTTAAGCCACCCATTCTGTGGTATTTTGTTATGGCATCCCTAACAGACTAACATACTTTCACTCTGGTATTTTGATTTAAATAACTTCCATTGTAACCATCATTAAATAATTTCATTTTCTAGTTATTTTAAATTTAATACTTCATGCTGGCCTGAAAATTAGATTTAATTTTTGGATTTTATTTTCAGAAGTACAATTTTATTACTTTCAAATACATAATGACATGAAACCAGTACCTTAAGCATTATGTTGCAAGATTTGCATCAGTGAATAGATGTCTGACTTGTGTGGTAGTTCACAGTGTAAGTTCTGGGCAGGGACAGATTGCCTTAAACATTTTCATGTTCTTTAAATTGCTAGATATGCCACAAAATACTATACACAACATTCTGGAAAAATAGTAGTCGACTGATTCAAGTGTTAGCAGCTTAAGAAATTTTGCTAAAAATTCATTAAACCTGTTCTTATTAGAATCTTTATTACTTTTTTAAAATTCTCTTAAGTAATATGCAGAAAAATAAATTTCAAATTTTAACTAGTGAAAGTTAATACTTTTTCAAACTTACCTTGTCTGAATGTGAAAGTTGTTTGTTGTCCCTGTATGCTCATAATCATGAATGGCAGCAGCAAAGACCATTGCTAAAATTTCCAGTTCAGTGAGCCAGTGCTAGTAAATCACAGAAAGAATCTATTAATATTCAAGAAATAAATACCATCTTCCCTTTCTCTGAAAAGGACTTTCAGCGCACCCTGTTTATGTAATCATATAAAATTATTTTTTATTTCTTTTAATTTTTTCCTATTTTTACCTCCACTAATTGTGCATGATGGATGCTTCATAAGGTCAATGATTGTTTCATGGCATATAAGTTCAAAATTCAGAATATAATTGTCCTTGCTAATTGAAAAAGGAGCAGTTTCCTATTATTTAAAAAGTGAACCCTAACTGGGTTTTGAATTTACAGCCATACATGTTTGGGTTCTTCTGAAATCAATTACAGTTTGGTGATTTTTAACATATAGCTCACGCAACATTAAAATGTCTTTTAGCCCAAGTGTTGTTGAACAATCTACTATGAAAAAAAAAATGTTCATCTAAAACTTAAAAATATTCACTTCCTTACAAGAGAAAGTGCACTTCATTTTCATGTTTAGAGATTTAGAAAAGTTTCTGAAATTCACAAAATTTTCTATTCATAACACATAAAAATGGCTGTGCAATTAACTTCAAATAATGCTAAAAGAATAAATCCTTTCATGTAAAATCCATGACTATCCACTTTACATACATTCACCTTTCAGTTACTAGCTAGATGCTTTAAAAAAAGTTCTCTGCTATTATTAGTTCATTTAGAAATAATTCAATAGTTTATTCATCACTCACATTTTGTAAAACCCTTATACTGCACTACCCAATATGGTAACCACATGTGACTATTTAAATTAAAAATAAAGAAAATTAATTAAAATTAAATTCACTTTCCCAGTTACACTAGCCATATTCCATATGCCTATTGGTCACATGTGACAAGTGGTTACCATATAGTAGTACAGCAAAGACACAAACCATTTCCATCATCACAGCAAGTTCTACTAGAGAACACTATAAATAGATGGCACTTGATGGTAGAAATGCGGAATCCAAAATGCTACGAAGCTCACTCTGAGTGGTCTCATTCTATACACTTAAAACAATAAAAGATCTTGCAAAAAACAACAGAAAGAGATCATGTAAACTTTGTGCACACTTGATAAAAGTTTGCAGAATAAAGATGCAATTTAAGAGCATAGACAGAAAGGCTAATTGGTGGCAGTGGATCTTGGGAAAAGGATGGAAAAAGATTGATAGTTAAGTGCAAGGATAGAGACAGAAGAATTTTAAATAGAAAGAGCAAATGTAGAATCATACTATAAGGTCTGTATTAAGATAGAATTGTCAATAGTACAATTGTGTTGGAGAATCAAGTGAAGTGAAGTTGAAGAATATGGAGAGTATGGAAAGAGTGAATGGACTAATTTGATGGGAATTGATGAATTTAGATTTTGTGTAAAAGGTAAAAGAAAGCCATTGTAGGTCCATGGGTCAAAAATGAAGGCAGTGACAATTGTTGAATCTCATAGATACCAAAGCTATAATCTTATTAATCTTAGCTCCCTTCACATAACCTATCATGATATTTGGCACATATTAGGAACTTAGTATTTGTTAAATTGCAATTAGCTAGTTTTGCATTAGAAAGAGGTAACAGTGGTAAAAGACCATGGAATCAGTCTTGGTTTTAAATCTCTGTTAATCCTCAGGAAAATGAGTTATTTACCCTCTCAGCTACAGTTCTGGTGAGAATGGCATTAGTAACCTTTCCCCTATGGGATTTAAGAAGAAGTTTTGAGTTAATGTATGCACTGTGCCTATCATGTCTTGTCATATGGTAAAATAAAGAATAAATGGCATTTTGCTAGGAACTTACTATGTTAAATGCATTGATTAAGGCATTAAATCTGGGAAATAATAGTTAAAATATCGTTAGTGATTGTAATTCAAGTACAAACGCCTCACAATCAGATGAAGCAGAAATAATTTTCAGAGCCAAAGGGAGTTAATATAACTAGCTGTTCTGTGTTCATAGACACATTTAATTATGAGTCATTAAAAGGAAGAAAGTGACCTTATAGAGGTCTGAATTGGGACTGAGCCTCCAATGTTCCCAATGAAACTATGGAACTATAAACACCATGAAATGAATAGCAATTGAAGTTAAACTAGTTTTGAACCCTAGACACCCACTGTTTTATTAAAGAAAATGATTTCTTTTTAAAAAGTCACTTATTTAAATTTTGGGGTGGGCTCAAATTATGTATTTATAAATATAGCTGTGGTTTTTAAAAGACAGCATTCATTATCTACTATGATAATACAGAATATAAAGTGTCAATAGTAAAAAAATTAAATTAGAAAATCAGAGATGGAATTAATTAGTGATTGACTCATAAATATTTAAAATTATTATCTTGCTAGCTGTGAAAATTTATTATAAACACATTTCCTGTTTTTATTCTGGTTCATTTCTGCCTCCCATAAATAGTACTTTCTCCACAAATTCCCCTTACTTATTTCCACACCATGGACTAAATCATTAAGTTCCACTACAAACTAGTATAGGAAGAGAGAAACATTGAACTTTCACACTTAATTTAAAAACACATCTACATCTAGTTCTAGATCCTTGAGGAATCGCCATACTGTTTTCCATAATGGTTGAACTAGTTTACAATCCCACCAACAGTGTAAAAGTGTTCCTATTTCTCCACATCCTCTCCAGCACCTGTTGTTTCCTGACTTTTTAATGATCGCCATTCTAACTGGTGTGAGATGGTATCTCATTGTGGTTTTGATTTGCATTTCTCTGATGGCCAGTGATGATGAGCATTTTTTCATGTGTCTGTTGGCTGTATGAATGTCTTCTTTTGAGAAATGTCTGTTCATATCCTTTGCCCACTTTTTGATGGGGTTGTTTGTTTTTTTCTTGTAAATTTGTTTGAGTTCTTTGTAGGTTCTGGATATTAGCCCTTTGTCAGATGAGTAGATTGCAAAAATGTTCTCCCATTCTGTAGGTTGCCTGTTCACTCTGATGGTAGTTTCTTTTGCTGTGCAGAAGTTCTTTAGTTTAATTAGATCCCATTTGTCAATTTTGGCTTTTGCTACTGTTGCTTTTGGTGTTTTAGACATGAAGTCTTTGCCCATGCCTATGTCCTGAATGGTACTACCTAGGTTTTCCTCTAGGATTTTTATGGTATTAGGTCTAACATTTAAGAGAAGCTTTCCTAATTAAAATTTAAAATGCTACACAAGTATAGATGTTTATTCGCCTTTATAACTATGGTACCCCAAAATATGAGGATCATACAGAGCCAGCAAATTTAAGGATTTAAAAAAAATAAGAACTAAAAGAAAAAAAATCACAAATTAAGGATTAGAATTCTTGTTTTGTCTGAAAAACAAAGATAATAAAATAATAGTTTAAGGTGCAAAAAAAAAAAAAACCACATCTACTTTGTATTAGCAAAAGTAGAATTCTGGACTGATTGTTAGTTTATTAGCTGCTGATTCATTTTGTGCTAGTATCAAAAAGTATTCTAACTCAGAAAACAGGTGCTTAAATTCATAGATTTTATAAATGACTCCTGAGGGCAAGCCAGAGAGAATGAGGTTAAATCCTGTCACTCTTTCCAACTACAGCAGTGGTCAATACAAATCCAAGTTTCTTCTGATTCCTAACAGGCAGAAATAAAGGGTTAAGATGATAAGTCATGAGCAATGCAGACACTGTATTTCATCAGACCTGTAGGTTGTATTTTGTCTGGAGAAATGCTCAGGTTGGCTTACTCTAGAGTGGGCAGTCATCAACTTATAAAGAGGTATTGACTGCTATTAGCCACATGTATTAAAACAGAAACAAAGGAAGGGAATTATTAACTGGACACTTTAGTTAGCTGGTCTCATTAAATTCTTATAACCACTTCATAAGATGGTTATATGTAAATATTTTTATACCTATGTTGCAGATAACAAAGCTGAATCCTAGAGAAATGGATCAACATTTCAAAGTTCACGTACCTATCTAGTGGCAGAGCAGGAATGCAAACCCAAATCTGTCTGATTTCAAAGTTTCTATTTCTTCCATGGATCACGATAGCATTCATTACATAAAAAAGGCAATATGCTGAACATATTCTTCTAAGGTTTCAAAAGGAGAATTTCTAGCTAATTTTACTATATGAATGGGTAGAGGCGAATAGAGTTTTGACTTAGGACTTGTAATTTTCATATCTGAATTACTCAGGATGTGTGTGTGTGCGCGCCTGTGGGATAGAAAAAGTAAATACATGTATTATACAAAGTATATATGTGTATTATATAAAGGGTGGGGAGAATTTCATGTCAGAAAATCACATTTATTTCTTGATTCCTTGAGTATTAACAACTCTTTTAGCTAGAATTTATGAGATTTGACACTATTTTTCTCTATTCCTTTGAATAGGCTGAAGAAGTTTGCTCTAAGTTACCAGTATAGAAAATTGGCATATTACAATTAATTAATGAAGGTATGTTAATAGCTATTATGTTTTAGGCACTAGGTTAGGTGCTTTACAAATGTGATTTTATTTACTCCTCATTTCCATTCTATAAAGTGGCTGGTATTATTAACTGTATTTTAGTGACAAGGGAAGCAATGTAGAGCTAGCAAATTAGAAAGGGGTGGGGCATGGGTTTAAACTCATGTCTGACTGCTTCCTGAGTCCACACTCTCTTTCCTCTTCCAAACACTATCATATTGGAAGCCATTTGTAAGAACAGAATTTCCACATAATTTGTAGAAAGATGTACTGCTAAATGTGTACTGTAGACTAATCAGAGAAAAATGCAGTCATTCCAAAGTGTGGAAGACTGTTTCTGTGTAGTCAGTGCACTAAAAATTCCAAAGGAACTAGATGTAAATTCATCTCTCTTCCTTGTACTCTTAGTATTAGAGAGAACGCAATGCCAGGAACCCTCTAATGCAAATGTCTTCTGGCCAAGGCCCTTGGATAATTTCATATTCAAAGAGACATTTGAAGGTGGCTTGACAGCACTTTATAAAACATTTGTTCCTTAGCAAATGGACTGAGTTATTGCACATCACTGTCACCATGGCACAGGACTACAACTGAATCAAGCGACAAAAGGAGAGTGAGGGGGACAAGCAGGTGTATGAGCATCAACTCTCCTCTGCATTGTCTACTCCCAGACTTGAGGGCATCCCTTATGACATTAACAAACAGAAGGACGATGGCTTAATTGCAATCCCTTTCAGGAATGGTCCTTAAAACATCTTGCAGATGACAACATGCATTAGTCTCCTGACAGTACTGGGCTGCTACTGGAGTGCTTCATAAATGTCACACTGATAGGGCCATCCTGAAATAGCAGGGCATCAACCAAAACACTAGAGTAGATGACCCAGTCTTCTTTATATCAAATCTGAGGGGTGAGAAAGAACTAAAGAGTTTTTGCTAATGAAAATTTCTATAAAGCTTTTTTGTTACAAAGAACCAACACATTTGTATACATGAAATGTAATAGTCACCTATCACTACTTTTTAATGTAGGCAAAACTTGTTAAAATAATTTTCCAAAAATTGTGAAGCTGACAGTGTAACCTAGTATTGACAAAATAGTCAATTCATTCATAAACTCATTTTGTCTTCCCTTTCTCCATCTATGGTAGAATTTCTCATTATTCTCTTTAGTTCAAATGTATTTTCTTGATTCTGGACAACACTAAAGGTCTACTACCAGACAATTTTTGTAATGGCCAAATTAATGGATGAGTAAAGAGCCCAGTGACACATTTTTGCTAAAGGATGAATACAATCAGAAAGTTACATTTATATTTGGTAAGTCATAGCTCTCAGAAAGTGACTATGTGATCTTTGCTAACAACTTTAACTTTCTAGGAGTCATGCCAGGCTTGGCCAAATTCCCCAGTCTTACAGAGAAGTTGGAATGGCCTATTAGGTCCCACAACAGTCTTCCTTATAATTCTGAGAGTAAAACCACATTGTAGATTTGATTTTCTCTGTTTACCAATTAATATGACACCCACATCTCTTCAATGTCACCTTCACACCAGATGTTCTGAAGCTGATATAGGAGACTTTTATTTGACTCCCTTTACACTTGTAGCAAATGTAAAAAAAAAAAAAATGCATTCAAGCAGGAATATTTTTTGTAAATGACAAAATTCTGGTTGCCTCCTAGGTTGAAATGGCATTTTCTCACTACACTTCACAATTAAAGCAGGTGCTAGGATTTAGAAATCTCACATGGCCTGCTCCTTTTTTGAACCCAGCTCAGTTTGGCACCTTCACAGGAAGGTCAGTTCCTCACTTTTTACCTTCTGGGAATCACTGTGAGTTTTACGACATTACAAAAATTCCCAGCTCTCTCAGAGTTCCTGTCATACACTCACTGTTATTTCAGGCTTTGCTTCACTGAATCATTTAGTCACCCATTCATTGATTCATCAAATGCAAAGAAGAGGAAAGAAAATTTGGAAAAATTCACATGAATAATTTCCCCAAATCCTATTAGAATTTGACTGTGACTAAGAGAGCAAAAGCGACTAAGGTCAGGTTAGGAGCACATAATGAGTGAGAACAGAGTGCTATAACTTTTATTCTAAAGACTTTTTCTCTAGGTCACTTATTTTGGTTGATTTCTATGGAAAAAATGATTTTACAAACAAAAATGTTTGGTAGTCCAAATTTGGGGAAACATGTATTTTTATTTGCCTCTGGTTATCTTTTTTGCACTGACTTAAAGTATTTTTTGAAAAATGTATATTATAACCCATGAAGCTTCAAAAATCCAAACAATTATTATTTATAAAACTTATTACTTTGAATACCTCTATGGGCATTAAAGAGACAATAGGAACTTACAGGAATGGAAGTTGATGCTTCCAAATGAACAAACCTCAGTTACAAAGACTTTCTTACCATGATACCTGTGTGAAGCATTATGTAATGCACAGTTTGAGTGACATCAGCTGCATGAATCAAATTGTGATATGGATTTTTGTACTTGCTGTAACCAACTTCTAAAGCTTCTGCAAAGGTGATTAGGCAAGAAACAGGAATCTGTGGAAAGTAATAATTATAATTATATTTTGACCAAAAAAGTGGTACTAAATCAACTTGAGCACAGTTTGTCATGGAACATATTAGTGAGTCAGATGTGGACAACAGTTTCTTTATGTCAAATGTGTCAAATGTCGATTGTTCTGAAAAACCACTTCATGAACATGTTAGCTTTCATTCCCAAAAAGAAGGATTGTAACCCCCTAGTATTTAACTAGGACAGATTAAATAACAGACTTACTCATACTATAACATTGAAATTTTAGTATCTTCCAGAGAGTAGGAAGGCTAGTTCTTAAAAGGGTAAATATTTCCAGTTACAATTAGTGGAGTCTAGTTTTTCTATCTTAATACAAAGAGGTTAAAATAGATTATCTCCCAGTACTTTACAGCTCTAAAAATGTGATTATTCTATAGGAAATGATGAAAGTAATAAGATACAGTCTGCTCAGTAGTCTGTATCAAATCTATTGCTTGGATGGTTCTAAATGAAGTTAATTAGAAGACCCTTCAATCTAATTTAAGAAAAGCTGGCAGTAAAGGTTCATTTTGTATTTTAAGAATGCTGGAGTAGTCATATTTCTTTAAGACATAGCTGCCAAACCTTATGTGAGTGTTTTGTGAATAAGTCAGGGGATGTTGGCATCTTGCTGGAATGAGGCTATGGTGGTCTCATGATCTCTAGGTGGATATATAGATGTGTCAGTGAGTTGTGAAGAATGGTTCTATCATGTAAAGACCTCATCCCCTTAATTCTGTGACCTGCTAAGACATCCTAAAATGAATTGCTTAATTACTCAAATGTTCTGCATTTTCATTCTTATTCAGATAACCAATTCTAAGAGCATTTCACTTGTGTTCCATGTTTCTGACCTTGAAACGGTTGATAAGATCATATCTGGTAAACAGTTCATAAATCATAAACTTCAGACTATGCTCTCCACTTGCTTCATTTAGGGCAAATACATCAAAAGACCATTTATCAACATCCTGTAGAAAAAAGCATAAGTACTTTAGGTGCCAATACAATAATGTTTCTATGAGAATTTATTCAAAAGATAAGGCATTGTACATTTAGCAGGTCATCTTTCAATTTAGCATGCCAAACTACACTTTGACCAGAGTTTCATAGGACAGGACCACTTAGTATCCATGGGTCCAGAAAATGGAGGCCATAATGCTGAATAAAGCACCAAAACCTTTTCTTTAATCCCAAAGTTACTAAACTGATTTAATGCATTTGATAATACCATAATACTGTCATTATCTTTAATCTCTCTCCAACTTCCTGCCATAAATCATTTTCTCAGAGTGGACCTCAATTTAGCATAGAATTGCTAGTTACATAGGTGATGTCAATTGGGAAATACAGAAGAAATAGTGCCAGTTTTTCTTTCTTACTCACTTGCTACATTGCTTGAAATTTCACCATAAGAGTTTGCAGTTTGGCATAAAGTTTTGATATTTACGTCCTGTTATAAGATGTAAATATTGGCCTGGTGCAGTGGCTCACGCCTGTAATCCCAACACTTTGGGAGGCCAAAATGGGCTGATCACGAGGTCAGGAGTTTGAGACCAGCCTGACCAACATGGTGAAACCCCATCTCTACAAAAAATACAAAAGTTAGCCAGGTGTGGTGGTGCACACCTGTAATCCCAGCTATTCAGGAGCCTGAGGCAGGAGAATCGCTTGAACCCAGGAGGCGGAGATTGCAGTGAGCCAAGATCACGCCACTGCACTCCAGCCTGGGTGACAGAGTGAGAGTCCATTTCCAAAAAGAAAGAAAGAAAGAAAAATATATAAATATCATAGAGAGATAGAGTATACACTATCTTTAATTATTAAAAGGTATTTTTTTACACTACTTTTCACCTATTATTATTTGCTCTATCTTTGGCTGACTTACTAATACTTTGCTCGAGGGACAGGTGGTGAGAAAAAGGAAGTGGGCCTTTTGATTGAGGAAGAGGATAGTAATACTCGTATTTCATGCAATTCCCTAGGGAAGCAAGCAGGCCAGAAGGGAAACTAGAAAGTACCCCATAACAGAGAGAGAGAGGGCAGTGAGCAGGGATATAAACCACTCCAGCTACCTCATGATTTTGCTTTGAAAATCTATAGAAGCACTGTAGTCCATTCTAATGGTTATCAGAAACTGCTAGCAAGAAGGCCTACTGTTTACACACATACAGTAGGTTTAGTATTGAACAGCAAGTGGGCAACCATAAAGCTATGCATTAATTTTCTATTTGAGTAGGCATGTTTCAAATTTCATTCAACACATTTTTTCTGGAGGCCAACTCTATGTGCTATAATATGCTAGAACCAAATTAAAAACCTGATAAAAAGTATTCAGTCTCTTTCAAAAATACTTCCTTCAAAAAATAATAGTAAGAGCTTCAAATGGTATTTTTAATCACTTGGAAACAAGCACCAATGAAATAGTTTTTGGTTTGCTTGTATGTTGTTATTAAATTCCTTGCATTTGGCCCTTATTTGACCCCCAAATGCTTGCTTTATCTCTTTATATATTAAAAGTTATTATAAGTTCTGTTAGAAGGCATTTTACATCAGTAAATCTCAAAGGAGGCCAACAAATCTTTTATCAAACTCCAAAGCTAACAAACAAGAGTTAGTCCAGACTCTTAGAAGGTTGCTATTTATATTTACAGCTCCAACTTGGGTGTTCCCACTGAGTAAAAGGTTAATTCTTTATTTCTTGAGAATTTTTTTATAAACCCTGATGATTTACATTTGTAAACTACTGCAGATGCTTGGATTTTATGTCATCAGATTGAGAACGAACAAGACAAGGAGGCTTCTCAGAAAATAAGAATTATTTAACTAAAACATTCTTTACTTGGTGATATTCCCTTTCTCAACCTGTTAGTTTATATCTTTTTTACTATACGACATGTTAGAAAAAATACTACATTCTCTCATACTAAAATATTTTGTTAGTTGGTTTTTAAGCGAAGATTCTTAAAATAAATAAAATAAAAATGAGTAATTTTCTTGCTCACTGTTAAGGAAATAATAGAGAAGGCAAAATCTCTCAAGAACCGAGGAATGATTAATATCCTTTAATGCAGTGGTCCTCAATATTTGGGCACCAGGAACTAGTTGTGTGGAAGAAAATTTTTCCACAGGTCGAGTTGGGGTTGGGTGGTTTTGGAATGAAACTGTTCCACCTCATCAGCAGTGCACAACCCTCACATGCACAGTTCACAGTAGGGTTTGCGTTCCTATCAGAATCTAGTGTCCCCTCTGATCTGACAGGAAGCAGAGAAACACAAATATAAAAAAGCACCAAAGAAAAACGAGCTATCTTTTAAAATTAATGAGATTAAAATCTAACATGCAGCAGAGAAAAAACAAATGCAAAGAAGATGCTTAAAAATGTTGAAAACACAAATTTAAAATTAAAAAGGAGTACAATAAGTCAGAAATAAATCAACCCAAGATCCGCTGCTGCCAATATCCTTTAAATTCTTGGTTAATGCAGAAGAAGCAACATGAAGATGTTTTAGGAGACAATGTTAATTTCCCTTAACCAAATTAGGCAATAGAAACAAGGAATTTAGAAGGATGAGCCTACAAAATGCCTCTGTAGAAATAACATTTAGAAACAAGGCACATGAACACCACACACGCACACACATACACACACACACACACACATAAACATACACACACAATGGGGCATGTATGTGAGCCAACAACTTTACTCACTTCAGAGTTTCAACTCTGATTATTTATAACATATATAGCACTGCAATTGGGCCTTAGAATAGTGTAGCCACAGGAGAAGCCAAAGATAAGAGAGATAAGGTTTTTTTTCTTTCTTAATTTTATCTTACATTTTGTATTTTTCAGACCTACAATCCTAAATAATTTCCTTCTATATGTTTTGTCATTTAAACATAATTGACTAAAACATCTTTTTATAACATGCATTTAACTCTTCCATAATACATTCATAACAAAATATGTACATTTTGACAAGTACTAGTGCCATTTCAAAATAAATTCAAGATCCCCATAAATAAAATTAAGAAAAAAACCACACGTATGTATGCATACAAACATGCATATATATATACGTTGATATAGTTTGTGTAAATCAGTCATTTAAATCTACAATGAGTCATGATTTGGAACACAGTTCATTTGTTAAATTGTTAGAATATGTTGAATTTTTTAACGTTCTAAGATGTAGGCTGCAGTAAAGACCTATTCTCGTTTTCTCCTAGCCTTTTTAAGAACATTTTTTAAATGACCATTTTAAACATGAAAATAATGAAATGATTTCACCTTTAATGTTACGATGACAGCTGCTGGATATGCCAAACCAACCATATGATATGTTTTTCGGTACATCCTAAAAAAGACAAAAATAAGTGTATATATAAAACTCATTGATTCAAAGTTTTCAACTATTTCTGAAACATAAGGGAAGAGATTACTTTTGACATGTTCACCTCTTATCATTAGTTACAGACTCCCTTTGTGTCAACAATGATAACTATAGTCACCTTTTACTAAACATCTACAATTTGACAATGTAATATATTCTCTATTCACAATCACCTTGTAAAGTTAATGTGACTTTAGTTTCCATGTAAAGATATCCTTCCCTGAACTTTATCATATTGAAAGATTCACTACACTTTGCATATGCAACAACTTTCTAACATGCCAACATATCCCTGACAGCAGAACATTCTTGTTTTGTGTCCATTTATATGACAAAATTTTTAGTCTGGAAGCTAAATGTCATTAAAATATTTCCTTTATATTTTTATATTAAAATTATGGGGGGGGAGATGTAGTGTCATCAGAATTTACATAGCTCCCTTCTTTTATTTAATGATATTGGGAAATTAATATCAGCAAAACTTATTTAAGTTTGTTCAAATTGTCATTCAATATTAAGAAAGGTTATTCAGAAAGAAAACAAGGTTATTTTCATTTCCATAATAGTATCAATAACAAAAGTGTTTTTTTGTTTTTGTTTTGTGTTTCTGTTTTTTTTTTTTTTTTTTTTGAGATGGAGTCTTGCTCTGTCGTGGAGGCTGGAGTGCAGTGGTGTGATCTCCGCTCGCTGCAAGCTCCGCCTCCTGGGTTCAAGCGATTCTCCTGCCTCAGCCTTCTTAGTAGCTGGGGTTACAGGCACGTGCCACCATGCCCAACTGATTTTTGTATTTTTAGTAGAGACAAGGTTTCACCATGTTGGTCAGGCTGGTCTCAAACTCCTAACCTCACGATCTGCCCACCTCGGCCTCCCAATGTGCTGGAATTATAGGCGTGAGTCACCACACCGAGCCAACAAAAGTGTTTTTAATAATCAGTGATTTGATTTTTTCTGTCTTCTGCTGGGCAACCCAAATAGCATAAACCAAATATAAGAACCCCCTCCATGAATTCATGTGAGAAAAGAATCAATATGATAGCCTAGTGTGTGATATAGCAATAGCGCTTCCATTCGGGACTCTGAAAGAAACATGTTTCCTCCTCCAAGGCCTGGGAAGAAAGAATTCAATTGATTATTAATCATGTCCTTTAATTTTTATATCAAGTTAGTCCACAACAAGCTGAATTTCTAGGCTATATCTGTAAATTCTCCCTACAAAAGGCCTGGAGAATGCCATAGCTTAATTAAATATGATAAATATGTTCGATGTAAGAAATGGTCACGTGGACAATATTCTGCGTCTTTTATAAAACTGCTATAGAAGATACTAAATTTTTTGATTCAATGTTCCTTATGTTAAAAATGCATGGGACATATTCCTCAGTTTCTATGTAAAAGTCATCGTTTGTTAAAGATAATCAAAGCTAAGCAATTTATCATGTTTTCCTGTTAAGTCTTGACTAGTTGGAAGTTCAGAATGAAAATATTGTGTTTAATTACATCTCTAGCCTAGGTTTTCTTGATGAAATATCTCTCCATTTTATTCTAGAGACCTTAAGCACAAAGGTTTCATGCTTCCACTTTATTTTAAATAATCATAAATTATTTTTGGATGTGGGTGATTAGGTAAAATAAGAAATTATCCTATATCTCTATTGAAAGATTTTAGAACAGTTAAAACTAAGAATACTTATATTAATTACTTCATTGATATAAGTATAATTATTCTAATCTTGCAGAGCAAGGAAACTACTAATCATACTATACAAGATCTAGAATAATTACTATCGACAATGATACTTAGGATTTTTTTTTGGAAACAGTCTTTTCCATCTGTTTCTAGTCATTACCATTAATATTAAAAAATGGAGGTGCAGGGGAAATTGAAGGATGATGAACAGGGAAAATGGTCAATATAAAAATCATTCAGGATTAAGAAATTTTAAAATGTTAATTAACATTAACTTGACTTTATGGCACAGAAAGGCAAAGAGAACACACGCTTTGAATCACATGTTAGCCACTCACTGCTGTGTGACCTTTGGAAACTAATGTCACTCATTTGTAAAATGAGAATAATTATAAGCTTTTTGTGAAGAGTAAATGATTCTCAATACAAGAAAGTCATCATTTTTATTATTATTGTAACTGCTCTCATTACTTTGCAGCCAATATCATTGGTTCGAAATCTTATATCTTTAGAGCTCTCTGGCCTCAATGGGACCTCTGGTGCTACTGAGTTTCTTAAACCTGGGATAGGTTGAGAAATGAATACCAATATACTTTCTCATTACATGGAATGTAAAGGAAGACAAAGAGGATTACCCTTCCAAAGAGACAGCAAAACTTTCCCATTATCATACTTTTCTAATTCTATAATCAGGAATAGAATTCTAGGATGGAAAATTAGAAATAGTAAACTAAGATGGAAAATTAAGATGACTCATCCTTGAATTAGAATGAGTATCAGAGATATCTTAACCCAGTTGTCTCACACTTTAGTAAACAGGTGATATATTACAAGTTTCTGAAAAATGACAATGAATTTCCTGGGCTCTAAAGGTAGTGAAATTCTAACTGGAAATATAGTGGATTATTTTTGGAAGTTTCCATAATAGTTACAAGATATAATTCAAAAACTCCTTAAAAAAATACTATTTTAAGGCCAGGCGCAGTGACTCACGCCTGTAATCCCAAAACTTTGGGAGGCCAAGGCGGGTGAATCACCTGAGGTCAGGAGTTCGAGACTAGCCTGGCCAACATGGGAAACCCTGTCTCTACTAAAAATACAAAAAAAATTTAGCCAGGCGGGGTGGCAGGAGCCTGTAATCCCAGCAGGAGAATCTCTTGAACTCGGGAGGCGGACGTTGCAGTAAGCCGAGATCACGCCGCTGCACTCCAGCCTGTGTGACACAGCCAGTCTCCCTCTCAAAGAAAAACAAAACAAAACAAACAAACAGAAAACAACACTATTTTGTACTAGGCATTCTGAGAGGCAGCAGACTTACTCAGTGGAAGGCAAGGAAAATATTGCTGCTGTTTCACAGGGCTTATTCCAGTGGTGAGGAGAAATGAAATATAAGAGACAATGTATGATTACAAACAGGGATAAGTGCTGGAAGGTAAACCACTGGCTGGGGGCAGCAATAGTGAGGAACAGCATAGAGTGATCCGGGAAGACATCTGGAACGGTAAAAGGGCCAGCCCGCTATGTTGAAGGGTGGGGAGAACCACTTCTGACAGAGAAAATAACAGGATGAATGGCTCCAAGGCAGGAAAGAGCTTAGAAATGTTCTTGAAATTGAAATCAGGCTGGTATAGGTGTTCAGTCAAGGATGAAGTTTGCAGTAGATGAGGCTAGAAAGCAAAATGGGACCTAACCAGGCTCAAGTGAATTGGGAAACCCTCTGGTGGTTTGAAGCTTAAGAATGAGAGGAACTAGGCCGGGCGCGGTGGTTCACGCCTGTAATCCCGGCACTTTGGGAGACCTAGGCGGGTGGATCACGAGGTCAGGAGATCGAGGCCATCCTGGCTAACATGGTGAAACCCCGTCTCTACCAAAAAAAATACAAAAAACTAGCCGGGCGAGGTGGCGGGCGCCTCTAGTCCCAGCTGCGCGAGAGGCTGAGGCAGGAGAATGGCGTGAACCCGGGAGGCGGAGCTTGCAGTGAGCCGAGATCGCGCAACTGTACTCCAGCCTGGGCGACAGAGCGAGACTCCGTCAAAAAAAAAAAAAAAAAAAAAGAAGAAGAAGAATGACAGGAACTAATTTGTATTCTAAAAACATCACTGTGGAATGGCTTGGTTGGGGTGGGCAAGTGAGGAGGAGAGGAGCCCAGTTAGAAAGTTACTGTCATATTTCTGAAGGCAGATAGTGGAGGCTTAGATTGTGGTTGCAGGAGTGGAGATGAGGAAGTGAGTGGATTCAGAATGCATTTGGGTAAGTAATTGCCAGGGCTTGCCGGGGAATTGAATCTTGGGAGGAAGTGTTTAAAGAAAGAAGCAACAAGACTTCAAGTAGACTCAGCTGTCAAGATTGAAGATGATTACTTTTGAAAAGTTCCAATAAACTTGTCCCACTATTTTTATGCACCTACTAGTGGGGATTCAACAGTGATTAAAAAAAGACTTTTTTCCATATGTTCTTAGCACACTGATTTCTTAAAGACTGCTTACTAATTTAGTTACCTGAAATACAATTTGATACTTTTATAGGCTACTAAAAAAGTTTACTTTTATAGGCTACTAAATAAAATTTTATACTTTTATAGGCTACTAAATAAACATATGAAAAAATGGAAATTTAGCATATTCATATATTTTATGTATTATAACCTTCTCTTGAATGGAAATGGAAATTCGGTTGATCTTCCTCCACAGTTTACATTTTTTCCCAGTTTGCCAAGTTCTGCAATTTTTTTTTAAACAAAGAAGACAAAATATACATTTCTTTAGCAAATCAAACATACTCTCATGTTTCATCTGTGATTCTCTCACAGATTTTCTGATGTACTATTTAGATGTTTTTAATTCGGTGCTAGAGAAAAGTCATCTTCTTTAAATTGCGTAGTGTATTTAACCACCTTTAAGTTTTATAATACATTTCTTGCCATGCATTCTCATTTACACTTTTAGAAATTCAAATGTGCTTTCCATTGTCCCTTTAGCAGAAGAAAATTAAAGTTTGTAATGTTTATTAACAGTAATACCTAGAGATATCAGAAGAGGAGAAATAATGCATTTTCTCTAAAATTTAATTTTAAGCATATTGGCAAAATATTCTCTGTTTCTCAACTTTACTAGTTTCTAAAATATTCAAATAATCGTTCTATATATAATTTCATATAATTATTTTTTAATCTAAGGGATTTCTGATAACTACTTTTCAATTTTGTCAAACATAAAATGTCTATTTCGGGTCTTTTGTAGTTCTAGTTCTAGGAAATATCTTGTTTCCTAGATGGAAAAAATAAGCTGTATTCCTAAGGGCTAAAAGAACATAAAATTGGGTCATATTAACATATGTTTCACGTTGAAAACTCTGATGATATAACTAGGCGTTTCTAGGGGCCATCAAATATCCCTTGCTTCAGTGACAGAAATGTTGGGGAAAAAAAAAAAACTATCAAAAGTGAGCATGAGAGGGATTTCCTCCATTATGGAAAGATGGGAAGTGAATGGGCTTTTATCTTTAGGGCAAAGGAAGGCCTGAGTGATCTTGACATGTAGATTGCTACCCAATGTAGAATGTATTTTATGAAATGTTACATTTTATTCAGGTAAAATTAGTTGTGTAACATATACATGTGTCAGAATTGTTTTTAAACAGTTGTTCACAAAGTTTCATTTGAGGAGAAAGGTCATTCAAAAGTCTTTGCTTTCAGTCTTCATGTCAACTTAAAATAAATAAACAGAATGCATCCGGGACCAGGTGTTTTTGTTATAGGTAAGTTCATCATAAAGTCCCAAATTTGTTCATTCTAGTTATAATTATGATTACAGTTTTCCTCAATAAGTGAAATATAGACTGCTCATACCTTTTATAAAATGAATGTATCTGCTGCCTTTCAAATATTATTGTCTTGAGATGCCAACAATTTCACTTACCTTTCCACAAAAATTCCAGCTTGAACAGCATGCACAATGCTCCGAAATTTTGGTTTTTCCTCAGGTTTCTTTTTTGTCATCCCCATTTTCCGTGTAAAGGTAGAAGCCAACCAGTCCCGGACTTCAGATGGGACTGAGTCAGTCTGAATGTCACTGAGCTCATCTTCAGTATCCAGAAGTCTTCTACAAAAATTTATACAGATTAAACATTTTTAAAAAGTGAAGAAAAACTAATAACAGGAAAACAAGGATTGCAATGGAATTTAAAATATAGCCAATACCGCTCTGTTTATTCCTTAATATGTACTCTCTAAAGAAAAAAAAAAATTCATTAACATTTGGAAAGCTCTTAATTTCTCAAATTGATCATATGAAGGCAACAACTAATAGATTTTGCATTTGCTGCTTCCCAAACATTTCAGCACAATGATACACTAGTCTGGAGGTACCGACTGTTAATATCTTCAGTGTGCTGTTCTGATAATGAATAAAACTAAGGAAAGATATGGAAGAGAATTCATAAACATATGTCTGCTATTAAAACAAGCAACTGGAGTGGAAAGAATGAAGGGGGATTGAATCCATAATAGCTGTCATATACTTAATAATCTAGTGTATGTCTTACATATAGTACATGATATTTGAATAAGGCTTTGCAATGTATAAAAGTCATTCACAGGTACTATTTCATTGGATAAGTACCCCTAAATTTTAGGAAAATAACAACTTAAGTGCTCTCAACGATATCCATTCTATCAATATCACAGATTTTAAAAGTGAAAAAAAAAAGAATGAAAACACATGAAAATAAATAGATTATGTTTAAAGCACATTTCAGGTGACCAGTGGGTGGAGATCTCATGGGTTTAGAACTGCTGGCCAAGGAAATCAACCCAGTGAGTGAGGTAGTGAACAGGAACTGAAACAATGACCATGCTCTGTGTAAGCTCCAGGTAGATAAAATTGACTGGACTGCTGAGTAGTAACAGCTGCCATTAAAGAGGACACTCAGGAAACATCGCTATTTTAAGGCCAGTCAACTTCAGCAGTCAACAACTTCCTAAAGGTCTGAACTGGCAACATCCCAGAGGCTCCCCACCAAATACAGAAACAGCTTACAGAACAGTTGAGCTTTGTCTCCAGGAGGAACGCAGGCCGCTCTGCCTGCCATTTGACTCGGTTCTTTCCTTATCTGTGCACCAATCTAAAGACTCGTTGGCACATGTTAGCTTTAACCTTTGGGTTTCATCTGCTTTTGAAAATCTCTTTGCACAGACCTAGGCCTAAGGTTTATGAGCCGATGTTGGAAGGTGGCAAGAAATGGTTGTACATGCCAACGCCTCAGAAACAAGGCACAGGCCATCTCAAGAAGCAGGGACAAAACAAAGGACAAAAACCAGGAGGTCTCCACAAAGAACTCAATCTGGCCAAAGAGAGGCTCAAAAGGTAATATGCAGAAGAGGAACTTTTCATGTTCCTTTAAATGGCCTCCTGTATATGCTGCTGTTTCCCATAAACCTGCAGAAAATAGTCATTTGCCAATATTTCTTTTCCATGGTATTAAATAAGCATAAATGTATTTATGAAATACCTTATGAAAAAAGTAAACATAAGTTCTGGAGTCACAAAGATACATGTATACCTATAAGGATTAAAAAGATTTAGAGTTGAATGTTAATACTGATTAATACTTACTTTATTCCATTTTTAATTTTCTTTCTGATCTTACATTTAGATGGTTTTGATTTACCCCTAAAACACTGAACTAGAAAATTAAAGCAAAATAGTTTGTTTTTCTTTTTGCCCATTTGAAATTAGATTCCCTAGCCCATTTCAGCAAGTCACTAAACTACAAGGCTTGAAAATTTCACTACTTTAAAGATTATGCCATTTCTACTATCTCTTATGCAGTGATCAAATACAGGGCAGGTGGGACAGGTAGAATAGGAATCATTGTGGTGTAATCTTGTGATGTCACCGTGCTCCAAGCATTCCACTGCAGCCTAGTTTTGTCAGCTAATCTCCTTAGAATGACAGAAACCTGACTGATGGTGCCAATTCCTCCACAGTAAATTTCATGTTGATGACTTTAGGGCTATATGTCCTATTCTCATAAATGATCCAAGAGAGATCATCAAACATAACAAAACCAGCGTATGAAAGTGATATTCCACATAGTAGAGTGGTACTTAGGAGGCTGGAAATCCTTAGTCATGATGCATGAGGTCATTTACTGAGAAGAAAGTGAATATAATTTTAGGGAGAAAGAATGATATAGATATGGATTAATTAGGGACACACAAATAAAGGACGAGAGTGTGTTAAGGGAAGAGCATGGAATATGCTATTGTGTAACTTGAAAAGGGAATCTTGAAAAGGCAACAACTACCTCCATGAAGTTTAATTTTATGTGTCACCATAGGTAGGTTATGGTGGCCAGTTGTTTGGTCAAACACCAATTTAAATGTTGCTGTGAAAGTATTTTTTAGATGTGATTAACACTTAAATCAGTAGACTTTGAGTAAAGCAGATTACCCTCTAAATTATGGGTAAGCCTCATCTGATCAGTTGAAAACCTTAAGAAAAAAGATTAAGGTCCCCCAAAGAGAAAGGAATTCAGCTTCCAGAACGCCTTTGAAATCAAGAATGCAATAACGACTCCTGCCAGGGTTTCCAGCCTGCCAGTTTGCTTTGCAAATTTCAGACTTGCCAGCACCAATAATCACATGAGCCCCTTCCTTAAAATACATATCTCGCTCTCTCCTCTCTCCTCTCCCTCTGTCTCTCTCTTTCTCTCTCTCTCTATCTCGTGTGTGTGTGTGTATGTTGTGTACCTATTGGTTTGGATAAGAAATAATCTTTCCATCATTTATGAATGCTGTGTGATAACTACCAGTGTAGGTGATAAATGAAGTAGAATATAAAGACTGAGTTCTCTATTAATATTCATTTAATAGAACATACCAGTCCTATTTCTCATGTAAAAATCCTGTTTGCAATGAACTAACATGCCTTTTTAGCAATTATAAATCTAAACACCATACTGTTTAAACATTACAGAATTATTGTCAAACTAAATGAAGTGATTAAAAATGGAAAAAATGAGAATGATCCCTTCTCAGGTGGAACTTATATTTTAAAAGAAAGACGAGGCCGAGACCGCGTCCGCCCCGCGAGCACAGAGCCTCGCCTTCGCCGCTCCGCCGCCCTTCACACCCGCCGCCAGCTCACCATGGATGATGATATCGCCGCGCTCGTTGTCGACAACGGCTCCGGCATGTGCAAGGCCGGCTTCGCGGGCGACGATGCCTCCCAGGCCGTCTTCCCCTCCATCGTGGGGCGCCCCAGGCACCAGGGCGTGATGGTGGGCATGGGTCAGAAGGATTCATATGTGGGCGACAAGGCCCAGAGGAAGAGAGGCATCCTCACCCTGAAGTACCCCATCGAGCACGGCATCGATGGGACGTCCCACAACTGGGACGACTTGGAGAAGATCTGGCACCACACCTTCTACAATGAGCTGCATGTGGCTCCTGAGGAGCACCCCGTGCTGCTGACCGAGGCCCCCCTGAACCCCAAGGCTAACCGCGAGAAGATGACCCAGATCATGTTTGAGACCTTCAACACCCCAGCCATGTACGTGGCCATCGAGGCTGTGCTGTCCCTGTACGCCTCTGGCCGTACCACTGGCATCGTGATGGACTCCGGTGACGGGATCACCCACACTGTGCCCATCTACGAGGGGTATGCCCTCGCCCACGCCATCCTGCGTCTGGACCTGGCTGGCCGGGACCTGACTGACTACCTCATGAAGATCCTCACTGAGCGCTGCTACAGCTTCACCACCAGGGCCGAGCGGGAAATCGTGCATGACATTAAGGAGAAGCTGTGCTATGTCGCCTTGGACTTCGAGCAGGAGATGGCCACGGCGGCTTCCAGCTCCTCCCTGGAGAAGAGCTAGGAGCTGCCGGATGGCCAGGTCATCACCATTGGCAACGAGCGGTTCCGCTGCCCTGGAAGGAAGGTTCCAACCTTCCTTCCTGGGCATGGAGTCCTGTGGCGTCCACGAAGCTACCTTCAACTCTATCATGAAGTGTGACGTGGACATCCGTAAAGACCTGTAGGCCAACACAGTGCTGTCTGGTGGCACCACCATGTACCCTGGCATTGCCGACAGGATGCAGAAAGAGATTACTGCCCTGGCGCCCAGCACGATGAAGATCAAGATCATTGCTCCTCCTGAGCGCAGGTACTCTGTGTGGATCGGCGGCTCCACCCTGGCCTCGCTGTCCACCTTCCAGCAGATGTGGATCAGCAGGCAGGAGTATGAGGATTCTGGCCCCTCCATCCTCCACCACAAATGCTTCTAGGCGGACTTAGTCGCGTTACACCCTTTCTTGACAAAACCTAACTTGCGCAGAAAACAAGATGAGATTGGCATGGCTTTATTTGTTTTTTGTTTTGTTTTGGTTTGGTTTTTTTTTTTTTTTTTTTTTTTTTTTTTTTTTTTTTTTTTTTTTTTTTTTTTTTTTTTTTTTTTTTTTTTTTTTGTTTTTTTTTGGCTTGACTCAGGATTTAAAAACTGGAACGGTGAAGGTGACAGCAGTCGGTTGGAGCGAGCATCCCCCAAAGTTCTACAATGTGGCCAAGGACTTTGATTGTACATTGTTCTTTTTTTAATAGTCATTCCAAATATGAGATGCATTGTTACAGGAAGTCCCTCACCCTCCTAAAAGCCACCCCACTTCTCTCTAAGGAGAATGGCCCAGTCCTCTCCCGAGTCCACACAGGGGAGGTGATAGCATTGCTTTCGTGTAAATTATGTAATGCAAAAATTTTTTAATCTTCACCTTAATACTTGTTTATTTTGTTTTATTTTGAATGAGGAGCCTTCGTGTCCCCCCTTTTTTGTCCCCCAACTTGAGATGTCTGAAGGCTTTTGGTCTCCCTGGGAGTGGGTGGAGGCAGCCAGGGCTTACCCGTACACTGACTTGAGACCAGTTGAATAAAGGTGCACACCTTACAAAAAAAAAAGAAAGACTAAAAATAAAATAAGGATTATGATATAGGTTAATTATGAGAGGAAACACTACTTTAGATAAGATGATCAGATAGTTAAGACCCGAACAATGAGAAAGTATTAGATATAGGAAAGTCTGGGGGAAGTCTGTTCTATCTATTCC